AATTTTTTTTTTTTTTTTTTTTTTTGGTAGTAGGGGTTGGACTCTGGCCCTTGAGTTTTGCCAGGCAGGTGGTGGAACCACTGAGCTAAATCCCTGGCTGTTTTACAAAATTTTTAAAGTGTCCATTTTATTTTCATATTCGTGGATCTGGGGATAGAAAATGGGGCCTTACCTATTAAACCTATCAATGATAGGCCCAGGCCTGTGGCCTCACACCTGTAATTCAGGCAATCAGGTGGCTGAGAAAAGATCACTGTGAGCTCCCGACCAGATGTTCTACATAGTGCTTGCCAAGTCAGTCTCAACTACATAATGGGACCCTGTCTCAAGAAACAAAATAATAAACAAACAAAAAAGCATGGCTAATATCAAATTGAAAGCAAAAGTAGTATTCTAAAGCTGAATATATTTTCTCTAAACAAAGCAAGAAGAAGTAACTGGACCAAATATGTTTGTGTCATTTTGCGTTTTTTATAAATGCGAAAGGCGGAGGGAGAGCATATGGCTGTGGGCTGGTTGGGTCTCCTGGTGCAATACTGCCATCGCGCGGATAAAGTTTCATAAAGTCGAACGTCATGAGTTGCTCCTCCATGAAGACCTAGCCAATGAGGAAAGCAGGGTTTGCAGATAGGCCCAAGCCAAGCTGCCTTCGCATTCTTTTACTCTAAAATCACTACCTGGAATACAAATGTAGAGTGTTGGGGCCCAACTGGGACACTGAGGGTCAGGACTGAACGTGCCACTGGCACCCGGACTGTCCCTGTCTTCGTGTTCTCACTGGGCCGCAAGGTGGAACCGAAAGCCCATTCCACTGGGGCATCACGTAAAGACCCAGGAATAATTGCTGTCAGTGGCAGGCGGAGGAGTCAGTGCCTCCAACAGCCCACTGCTGTGTGAGGGGGTCTCTGGTCCAGTCCTGCCCAGAGGAACCGAGGCCGCGCCCCACGACTTCCTGTCATGGCGGCTGCTGTCAGCTGCAACTGCCCTCCAGGTCCTCTTATTTCCACCCCAGGGTAGCACTGCCAGGTAACTATGTTCCTCCTGGGGCTTTAGCAGGAGGCAGGGAGCCCAGCCCGGGGCCAAAGCCGAATTCTAGTTAACTACAAGTAGACCCTTCGCCAATGCCTGGGTCAGATGGGACAGCAGGAGTCATGTCTGTGTGGATGATGAAGTGAGTTCCGCACGGAGGCAGTAGTGCGCCGTGCCAGGGTGAGAGTGCTCCCCTCCCGCCTTACGTGTCTCAAAAAAACTATGCCCAAGGATAGAAAATCTAACTGCTTCCTGGAGGAACTATTATTTGTGGAACTCGACAGGTAAAGTGGCACAGCACTGAGAATGTAGTGAAAGCCACTGAATGGTACACAGTAAATGGGGAAATGTCACGTCACGGGAATGTGTCAATTTCAAAAAGCGGCAATGTTTTGAAAGAGATGAGTGTACTCAAAAGCATTAATTATATTTCAAAAATGATCAAATTGCAAGTGCAGAAAACTTTCTTTAACTTTTATGGTATGAAAAACCAAGCATGGTGGCACATGCCTGCAATCCCAGCGATGTCGGTGGCTGAGGCAGAATCATCCTAAGGTCTAGCCCAGCCTGGGAAACTTAATGAATTAACTAGGCCCAGTCAGACAATGAAAACAAGAAAATAAGAAATGTCTGAATATGATGGCCTTGGGTTCAGTCCCTAGTACTGCAAGGACAGGAACAAAAATGGCATTGAGAACATTGATTTGGAAAACTTCATGCTATATAAGCACATGAAGAGTTGAGTATACATAGCACAGATATGTTTTTCCTTTAGTGGGGATGGACCGGAAACCTTTCACACTGAACCACGTCATAATATATTCCTTCTTGCTAAACTTATAAATTGTTCAGAATGGGCTCAAACTTTACATCCTGCTGCCTCAGCCTTCTAGTGTTGGCATTTGAGAAGGTTTCCCCCTGTTCACACTTGTTTAAATGTGCCAGTCTTTTTCTTCCTGGGGTCGGCCTGACACATGGTTTCTGCTTCATAAATTCTAAAATATCTAGAGTGAAACGTAAAAGTTGAATCATTCCAAACTCTGCCAGTGGTTGTGTATGAGGCTGCTGCCAAGGACTGAAAAGTGATGGACACCTACAAGGGTATCTGAGGCGAAATGAGCATGTGGTATCTGTACGTGCATCCAATTGTGCAGAGCTTCAAAATATGCATGGTTGCAATAATGGTTAGTGGGTAGAGGAAGTGTGTAATTGGTTATAATGAATTGGGAGAACATATTTCCGTAAATGTAAACAGAAATGTGTAAATAACCTTAGCTGTATCTGACTGGTGTGACTCGTCCATGTCCAAGTGTTGTGAGGGTTCTGTCAGGATGCCTGATTTTGAGAGAAGCACAAGATCAACAGTTCTCTTCACATAAAGTGGAGAGATACCAATGTTCAAGGTTTCTCTCAAATTTTTACTTTCGTTCTTTGGAGCCGTTAAAGGTAAACTTCTAGGAACCCTTGTGATGCTCAGGCAGGATCAACCCAAGTTTGTGTAAAAATCAAACTTTGGGATAAAATCTTTTCTTCCTTCAATGGCGTTGAAACAAGGGCCTTTGTATTGATGAACAGTACATTCTTTTTTATTTTGGGACTGGATCTACTAGTTTGCATAATTTTGAATCATACTTCCTGAGCCTCCCAGAAAGCTGAGATTTCAGACATGTAGCATTAGGATAAAAACTGGAGAATCAAATACTACCAAGTCTAAAGGCTATACATGTATACATTTATAAAATATCTATAGGTCATATTTATATTTATAGGGAGATGAAACCATATTTATGGATAAAATTATTAAATGAGAGGCTAATATTTTGAATAGAACACACCAGTGCAAAGCATTGCAGATGTCAATTTTTATATTCCCGAGTTTTCACATATTTTATGATAATGTGAAAAACAACATGGAACTGAAAATTGGAAATGTCGAATCTAAAATGCAGTGAGGGCTGGGATTTTAGCTAAGTGGTTCTGCCACCTGCCTTGCAAGCTCAAGGACCCGAGTTTAATAAATGGTACAAAAAGAAAAGAAATGCAACGAGTAACTCAAAATAATTGAAATGGAAATGTATTGTGTTTTAATTTCTATTTTTTTTTTCTCATTGAGTGTATTGGTGCATTGTTGGTCTGCAATGCAGTTGCGTTCATCGTTGGGATCTTGTACCTTTACATGAGAGATCTTGATTCTCATTTCCCCCCCAAATTCCTACCCTCAATTACCCTGCTCCTCCAATTCGTATTTACAAATACTTTATTTCCATTTTTTCACCTTCTCATAGTTTTTCCTTTTCTCTTATTACCTTTTCCCTACCCTTGCCATTTCCCCAACTCTTTTAGACCTTTTCTTGCTATTTCACATTGTCAATTATATCATCAGTATACTATGTACCATTATCAATTTCTGTTTAGAACACTGTCTTTATATACTGAAAGAATGAAGGTCAACATAGAAAAGATTATCATTATATAATACAAAGTTATGTGATGGTGTGAGACTCTTGATAGGTATCTGGCTATTAAATACAATTTAAATGAAAATGGATTGCAGAGTCTGTCTCCTTATACCACTGTCTCTAATAGGTATTGGGACAATGGGGGTACACAAGTAAAAGAATATCACTGTACAATATAAAGTGTTATGAGTGGTGGATGTCTCTTCATAAAGAAATAGCTATTTGCTGAATTCTCTTGAATTTCCATGACTGTGCTATGAAAGAGAATTTGTAAGAGCTTTCCTGAAGTGGAAAGAAAAACTCACTTACACAGCACACACATAGATAACAGGGAGACGTATCTGTCGGAAAAGTCTTGCTGGATGATTCCGTGACACCAAACTGATCTCTCCCACTGGAGTATGTACACTTTCAATTACAGGTGTCACTCCAGGGAAGACTTTATTCAGCCTGGAGTCCACCAGCTTCACCTAAAGTCAGTGTCTGATGAATAGGTAAGGCCTGGTGCTTGGGTCAGAGTGTGGAGTAGGACTTCCAGGGAACCTAGGACTTGTGTCCTGATGAGAACCTACCTCCTAAGAACCTGGATCTATTCTTCATGGAGCCCACAATCCTGAGTATTTTATTTTCCTTCCTAGGCATGGAACCCGGATGTTTGGTCATCAATGCCAGGAGACAATGAGATGATGTGATGATGGAGAGGAAGCACTGGAGGTACAATGTTGGGGGAAGAAGAACAATACTGGGAGACTTGGTCCTCTGAAACGGATTTTGGAAGAGAGAAGCTGAGTGATGAAGGTGGGCGGCTTTGATATCACTTTTATAAAATTTTTAAAGTGTTCATTTTATTTTC